GAGAGAGAGAGAGAGAGAGAGAGAGAGAGAGAGAGAGAGAGAGAGAGAGAGAGAGAGGGAGGGAAAGAGAGGGTGTCTTCGACCAAGAGTAACAGCCGTCAGCCGTCAGTCGCACGACGGGGGCCAAACGATGCAGGGCGTTGAGGAGTGTGCCCGCCTAGAGTCGTTTGTCAGCTTCGCTTGATCCGGTAGAGGCCGGGCACTAAAGCAGGGCGACAATCTGAACCATTGGGCCGGTAGGACCAGGGACGGCCCGGATTGCCCAATTCTAATCACGCGCGAGAATACTTACTTGCCCTTCACTTTGCCGAGAACTTCTTGCGCCTTTGCCCCCCATCCCACCTCAGCTCCATCCTGCAAGTTGGGCAAAAACAAACAAACAAACAAAAAAGAAAACATTTGCCAAAAAAAACAGACGATCCTCAGACCATCGAAACATGTTCACCACAGACACACAGTAACACTAAGAGCATGCTCCCACAAGGCCCTCAAACTCGCAAAATCACAAAGTGAGCGGCCAGTTCGAGTCCCTGTAAAGGAAGGACTAGATCTGGCCGCTCATTTTGGGATTTTGGGATTTTGCAATTTTGAGGGGCTGGTGTGAGTATGCCCTAGTTCGTTTATAATAATCCAGGCTACGAACCGGGCAGCCTGGGTCACCTTGGTTGCCCAGGCGTCCCAGCAGGCCCCTTAAACCACTACCTCCAAGCCTGTTTTTGCGGACCCCGAATTTCACTGCGCTCCGAGTTTGCCGATCCTGGGTACCACTCCGTTTTCTTTCTGGTACTCTCACGGAAAGAACAAAAAAAACAAAAAAAGAAGAACAAAAGTTGCGGCCGTGAACTCGGCAAAAAAAAAAAAGTAAAAAAAATGAAAGAAAGCTCTTTGGCCGTGATTGCAGCCGTATACATTCCTAGAAGTGGTAGTGTGAGTGTGCCCTCAGTGAGAGCATCTCAGCCCGTGGCCAGGTTGTCAGATTCGAAAAAGAGAATAGAAGGGGAAAAAAAGGGGCACACGGATCCGGCCGTGAAAATGGCTGTATACATTCCCCTTAGTACCAGTGTGACAAGTGTTACAATCCTCTGACAAAACACAGCTTGAGCAGATCACGGACGGTGTCAGGTGGCCACAAGCAGTGCGCCGCCTGAAATCTGCGGCTTTTCCGACTTAGGCTCAGGGACAAGTCCGTGTTTTGACGGTACTCTGGTATGACCAGGCAGCAAAAATTAGGGGAACTCAGGGCACCCAGATTTTGGGCGCACTGAACGAGTAGCCCTCAAAGATGGCGAAATGGGTAGCCGCTCCCGGCACATCTAGGAACCGTCATTTCCGCCCGTCCCGAGGCCAGACTTGGGGTGGCCGGCTGCGGGGAGGCATCGCGTGTGTTGACCCCGCCGCAATGCTTTTGCAGCATATGATCGGGGATGGAATAGCGCCTCAAACTTTTGTCAATTTTTGGTACCTAAATTAAAGATGGGAGAAAAGATTGGGAACAGTAGGAGGGAAGAGAAAAACGTAATATCCCTTGATTCCCTTATTTTTCGCAGCATTTAAATTTTGGGGAAAATACCTCGTTATTTTATGTTTCCGGCAATGAAATAGAGAACCAGAGAAAAAGATTAAAAATGGTAAAGGAGAGAAGAAAAGAGAGAATTTCAACCATTTGATTAAACTCCCTCAGAATTCATTTTTGGTGAACCTACGGCTAATTCACTATTTCAGACAATAGAATTAAGGAAAAGGRAGAACGATTAAAAATGATGGAACAAACAGGAGCTAATGATTATTCGATGCCTGGTCTGGTTTTGCTTGGGATACCCACCGTCAGCTCAGGACCAAGATTTGATCAAATTATCTGAGCTCTAACCTTTTTTTRCTATCCCCCGATGATCGAAACTCTCTATGACGCGTCCCCTATTTGCCTGATTACTAACCTTACTGAGCCCGGCGGTACGGACGATGACCACATGGATATGGACAGCGTGGGATCGTGTTACATTGGACCGACAGCATGATGTCAGGTTCGGTACCGGACATGTTTGAGGTTCGGCCTGAGCCGGTATCGGCGTACTTCAGGTTCGGGCACCAGGGTGATTTATTTCCAGGATCGACATCATCACGGCTATTTATTTCAGGTTCAGCATCATCATGGCTATTTGTTTCAGGGCCGGAACYGCCACGGTGGCTTACTTTCAGGTCTGGAGCCACTATGACGATGTATTTCAGGTTCGGGATCCTAGTGGTAATTTATTTCAGGCTCGGTGGTGATTATTTCAGCTTCGGCACCTCTACGACAGATTATTTTCCGGATTCGGCACCCTCACGGTGGCATGTGTCAGGTTCGGTGCCATTAAGACAATTTATTTCAGGGTTGGGGACACTGGCGATTTATTTCAGGTACGGCGCCGCCACGGCAACTTATTTTAGGCTCTGCGGCTTGGGGACAATTTTTTTCAGGTCTGGAGACTGCCATAGCGATCTATTTCAGGTTCGGAACCTGGACGGCAGGTTATTCCAGGTTCGGCGCTATCACGGGTATTTAACTCAGGCTCGGCACCATCACTGCGGCCATTTATTCCAGGTTTGGTGCCACTATGACGGTTTATTTCAGCTTTGGGACCACTACGCCAGTCTATTTCAGGTTCGGGATGACTACGCTGATGTATTCACCACCGCGACCTATTTTCGCGTTCGGGACCATCCCAAGGGGGTATCTCCAGGACCCGAACCACTACGGCGACTCATTTCAGGTTCCGCACCAGCGCTGCGGATTATTTCAGATCCGGGGACATTATGTTGGTTTATTTTCAGGCCGAAACTACCTCGACGTCGACAAAGGTTCAGGTTTCGGTGATGATTTGGTATGGGTGCAGCACTCAGGTTCAGGTTTGGGATTACACCGGTGTGGCTACATTCCACGGTACACTATGGAACAGGGAAGGTTTGTTCAGGATCGGTGCGCCATCCGTGCGGTGTGGGTCACTGTATCATTTTCAGATTTCAGTATTGGCATACCTGCTGCTCAGATGGCTGGAACTCTCTGTGGCCTCATACGATTATCAACTGTGCGGCTCAGCCTTCAGGTCTGAAAAGGGAAATTAAGATTCCGAAGTACTGATCTGGGAATGGACATCAAGCGGGCGCAGTCCGGGGTGCCTGGTGCTGCGATTGACCGAGGGCCAGCCCCGAGCGGTTTGGGAACAACGAAGGACTGTGGCCTTCTCTGAGCGCCCTGCGTGAAAAAAAGGCCGAGAGCTGAACGGAAGGGGATATAGGGAGGAACCAGTCATTCTATAGGTGGGACGGGCATTCAGGGTGTGCACGGTGTACACAACCCACAACCGCGAATGTTGGGGGAGACTGAGGAAGCCCACGCAAGGCAGTTACGGGGAGCAAGCTGAGGGGGCGCCGCGAGATGAGCAAGGCGTGCCCAGTTCGTCGCTGCAAGGCAGCGCAGTCGGGAGCTGACTGTTACAAGGTGCGGCGTACCTGGCCCATCTTCCGAAGGGATCCGTGCGAGATAGACTCACGGGGAGAGTCGAGCAAAGCGGCCATGCAGTTAGCGTAGAAGGGGCAAGAGCTATGCGCGCTCGTGAAGGACAGAAGAGCGAGCGACCTTGACTTCCGCTACAGCGTTCGTGGGGAGGCAGAGAGAGAGAAAGGGAGTGCACGCGGCATGGAAAGGCGATCACTGTACTAGCTGGTGGAGGAGAACAGAGTTTTCCAAATCGGGGGAAGACACAGCCAAGGGAATGAGCTCGTTCTAAGTGTTGAATTGGCACGCGCGCTGGGTAAAGCGACAGGGAGAGAGTGAAAATTTGATGTGCGTGGTGAGCACTGTACCGGCGCTCCACGATTATCCCGGTTGGTTAGCAGCGCAAGAGAGGAGTGGTCGCTCGAGTGAGCTGAGGGTAGTGTTTCGGAGGTTCTCCCTGATACGTATCTCGCGTCCGGGTACGTGAGTTCGGCGATTACTCACTCGGAGACAGAGCGCGTCCTGGAACGAGTGCAGCGGTGGAGAAGGCAGCATGATCGAGAAGGTACTCGAACGCAAGAAGCAGCCGGATAAACTTTTTATAAGCTAATTTTATTCCAGTCCTTTCGTTCGACATTTGGCAGCCTCTGAGCTGAAGACGGGCTAAGCAGGGAGACATGGTTGCGAGTGAATTCAGTTAATTACGGGATAAACTTTGACCTCTGATATCCAACTGTAAACAGAAAGAAACGGTGGGTCCACAGGGGCTTGTCAGAGACCAGACACTGTAACTGTAGCATGTTGACTGTCCTCGTTTCTTATCATAATGCTTCATATCCTAGCATCGGTCTGAAATTCAGTGTGAGTTCTTGCCGCCATTTTGCTGCTTGCTGTGAGACGAAACCTATCGGCAACGTGGCCTTACATTTGAAGAGTAGGGGGGAGCTTCGGGGGGAGGAAAGGACGAGGAGTGTCATCTGTCGTGAGTACGGCGGTTCATGATCTGGGAGCGTGAAAAGGACAGCTGGGGTTCTTCCATCATTCTTCGAAGAAGAGGTAGATCGGGTCGTGTGACTCCCTTCCTTCTCCTTCTGCAGGCAGGGGAGAGGTGAAGCACCTCCCATATGCAGTTACACGAGGAGAGAGAGAGTACTCGCTGTTTTATATCCTTCATCTCCTCTGGTCTTTACCCCTTTCATAGAGTATAAAGGGCGAACAAGTGTGCGTGGGAGAAGAGTACGACGATGGCGAAAAGGGAATGAGTGAGAGAGAAGGGAGGGGGAGGGAAAGCAAACGGGAAAATGGGGGTGGACAACAACAAAGGGAGGTGCACTTTCAGGCGGGATATATCCTTTATTACTCACTTTCTGACTGTTCTGACGCGGTAATCCGCCCTGACTCTTCGAGAAACTTTGCATGTAAACGCCCTGTTGCTGCGGCAAATTCTGGGGAACCACCTGCAGTTGCCACTCTTGCCTCTCTGAGAAATTTTGGTCACCCCCGTGCATCAGAAGCCATTGCTGTTCCAAGGATTTTCTGTTTAGGTGTCAGCATGGGACCCTCTTGCAGTTTTAACGGCCTCCTAAATATTTACCTGTGATCGAATTGGAATGACTCCTTAAACTAACGAGAGTAGACTGAAAACAAAGAAACTGTACCAAACTGGGGACAAAGGCTAAAAGAACTAAAAGCAATTTCATACGTAATCTAAGAAATACTTCCCAAATGCCAACAGCAGTCTCCCAGCCATTTCTGTTTTCAAGAGAAGGTTGTTAAGGGATTTGTGAAAACTGTGAAGACGCGACAGGCAGGTCAAAATACTCCCCTGCTGGTCGCCAGGGACCTCGGAAGCGGGCGCGGCGAGTGACAGGCGCCGTTG